ATGCCTCTTTGTATGATCATAAACCCCAGGAATTGGCGGCTATCTTCTCGGAGTTGATCTCTATGCCTCTTTGTATGATCATAAACCCCAGGAATTTTCCCAATTGCACCCCAAAGGCACACTTGGCAGGATTGAGCTTCATACGGTAGCGTAGGAGGGTGGAGAAGGTCTCGTCCAGATTTAATATGTGGTTCGACGCTTGTTTTGACTTCACCAGCAAGTCGTCCATATAAGCTTCCAGATTGTGACCGATCTGGTGTTTGAAGACCTTGTTGACAAGTCTCTGGTAAGTAGCCCCGATGTTCTTCAGTCTGAATGGCATCATCTTGTAGCAATAGGTTTTGTCGTTGGTGATAAAGGAGGTCTTCTCCTGATGATATTCTACCATGAAAATTGGATTGTAGTCGGAGAAGGCGTCCATAAAACTAAGTAGCTCGTGCCCCGCACTTTCATCAACCAGCTGATTGATTTGAGGTAGGGGGTAGCTATCCATAGGGCAAGCTTTGTTGAGGTCAGTGAAGTCCATGTACATCCTACATTTGTTTATCACCTTCTTCACCAACACCACATTAGCCAACCAATCTGGGTATGGGACTTCCCAAATGAAACCAACTCTAAGTAGCAAGTAGCCGTTCGACTTCATTGGCAGCCGCCTTCTGTCATTCGAGACCAATATATCTCTTCTTATATCACACAGGCTTAGTGTGCCTGTCGACAGCCATCTCATGGCTTATCACCTCGGGGGGAACCCTCGGCATATCTTCTGCTCCCTAGGTGAATATATCAGCATTTGCCCGCAAGAATTTTGTCAGTGCTCCCCGTAAAGGCTCCACTAAGCTGGATCCAATCTTGACCATCTTCTACCCTTCCCGGTTGATTGGTATCTCCTGGAACTCTTCCACCGACATTGTCCTCTGCCGTTCTGTTGCTTTCTCCAACTGGAGGCAAGCTTTCTCAATAGGCAAGGCATCTTGCACACCCTTACCCTTGGTCAAGAGCAGGTAACATGACCTGGCCTCTCGCCGATTGCTCCTAGTGAACCCGACTCCAGTAGGATTTGGGAACTTCAACATCTGGTGGTAGGTCCAAGGGATGGCCCACAAAAGGTGGAGGGCGGTTCGGCCCAAGATGATATTATGGGCCGACTTAGGATTCATCACCAGGAATTAGACTTGGAAGGTGGATTGTCTGGGGTACTCTCTGACCATTAGGGGGAGAGAAATCATCCCTTTCGGCAAAAGAGAGTGGCTAGTGAATCTAAGGAGGGGGCCTCTATTGGGGAGCAGTCGAGATTTATCGATGCCCATCTGGTTGAAGGCGTCGACATATAGGATATCCACTGAGCTTCCAGTGTCGACCATGATCCTCTTCACTTGGAAGCCATCAATCCCGTTTGTTATGACAATAAGATCATCATGAGGCGTCTCGACGCCCTTCAGGTCTGCATCTCCAAAAGGGATTGAAAGTACTCTAATGCCACTAGGAAAGAACCCTAGAGGGGGGTTAATAGGGTTTATGCTAATCTAATCCGATTTACGCCAAATTAAAAACTTATTAACAAATATCCTAGCAAATGAGACATGAACAATATATGTGCAAGGATATATAAATTAACATAAGAGTAAAATAAACAATAAACAAACCAGAGTGATAGTGCACAATAAACAATGTAAACACACAATATGATCACGAAGTTCGGACCTTCCGTCCTACGTCTCCGCTCCCCACTCCCGGAGAGAAATCCACTATCACACCGGGTTTTCAATGATCACCCGAAAACATTTACACCACACAATATTGGTTTTCAACGCTCACCGATCAACATTCACAATCTCACAATAAAACTACACTAACTACCACCTCAAGTGTTGGTCTCTAGCCCATGTCTCCTTCAAGTCTTAGGAATTATAACCTCTCTCTAGGCATTACCACCTACCCCACTTCTCTTGGGATGACCCCGTTTCTCACCATACACTCCTCTTGGTGTACTAGTGTATTACAAAGTGAATCCTCACAATTAAGCATACTAACAACAAATGATTGTTCTCTAAATAAGGTGAGAACTCAATTAAGCACAACTCAAAGTTACAATCTCTCACAACCCCAATTATACTATATATGAAAATACTAAAAGCTCAAGTAAGTGTGTGTAACAATGAGATTTAATAAATCAAAACTAAACTCAAATAAATTCTAGCTTATGGAAATGAAAATCAAACATATAAAATAGCTATATTGAGTTTAGAAAAACTTCTCTATATGATGACAAGAGAGAGGGAGAAGAGTTGAATGCTCAAACACCAATGGATGATCTCCTCTAGCTCTTGTGAAATTATCTTCACAAACCGAAACTTAAAAATGCTTAAAAGCTTCTTAAACAAACTCAAACCAAAACTTAAACCCTTGTTAAAACATTCTTAATCTTGTTTAAAACATTTCTTTTTTGTTACCTCAGAAGTATGAGGGCATGGGGTATATATAGGCTCATGAAACAACCCCAAAAACCAATAAAAACCCAAGAAAAATTACAAAAAGAAAAAATCTCTAAAACTAGCCATTATAGGCTAAAAAGAGGTCATCAGTCGATTGACTACAGTGCGTCGGTCGACTGATGAAGTCGACAGTTCCAGATTTGGCAGATTCTGGAATTTTACGTATCTGATTTTATAAAATTAATTAAAAATAGTAAATCAACTTCAAAAATTATGAAATTTTGAAGGATGTTTCTAAACATGTAGATGAACATGTTAGAGAAATAATTTCATGAATATCACTTCTCATTTGAGAGAAATAAATTATTAAGTAAACTAGTTAAAAACTAAAAATCTGGAAATAGTACAAAACTAGCCGTTATGAGCTTATCAGTCGACTGATCAGTCGACCGATGACCTCATTAGTCAACTGATCAGTCGGCTGAAAAGAAACAGAGGCTTTTTGATGATTCTAGATATTTTTATCAGTCGACTGAACACATGTATCAGTCGACTGTTAACACTGTATCAGCCTGATTTGAATAGTAAAAACCAACTTTGAAGTGTCTTAAAAAATAGCAAATAAATTTCAAAAATGTAAAACTTTAGAAAATCATTATAAACATGTAAATGAACATGTTACAAAAAGAATTTTTGGAATTACACTTCTTAATATGAAAACTTATCATTTTACGAAAATGTTCAAAACATGCAAACTTAATATACTTGATATGTAATGTTTTGACATAAACCATGTTTTAAAACTTTATAAAATAATTTTATAGACTTAATAAACTATATATATAGTGATATTGAAGTCTATAAACTAATAAAACAATATTTTATTAAAAACACCTATATTTTGATAAAATCAACAAATACGTGTGTGTGAATAATATGAGCTTAAAGTATTAACACAAAAGTATAAACCTATACTACAAATACTATAAACTATACCCAGGCTTGAAGGTCTTCAATATAGCCCGACTTGGTAAACTTGCGGATGAAGCTTGAACTTGAATCTTTAACTTGAATTGCATTGCTTCACTCTACTATTTCCGCTAACCTCCATTTGATATGATCGTTATGACGCAATTCCATCCAACCTCTAACTTATTGTTTGCCTAGAATAGATACAAAACACAAATACTAGACAAACAACATTATATATAAATTGTTTGTAAATCATCATCAAAACAAAAGAACCTAACAGGAATGGGTTCCTTCTCTCTTGACCTCTTGTCACACTGGTCGACCCGCAACATCCTCTTAGCATACCTCTTTCGGGCGTTGTTGGATGACCCTCCAGCGGTGGGGCTACCACTGATCAAGGATGAGGTGACCACAAGTGGGATCGCCTATCTGCCTTTACTGGGGGAGCTTCCCTCCGTTCTCTTTGCGAGACAAGCTTCTTTAGGTATCCTCTCTCGATCAGGTTCTCAATGTCCCTTCTTCAAGATACGACAGTTGTTGGTGAGGTGGCCATGATCTTTGTGGTAGTAGAAATACTACCTAGTGCCTCGGCTTTAGGGATCCGACCTCATCTTGGGAGCATGATCTTTGAGGTGCCCCCTACTTTTGGACCCTAGTGAGAGCTTCTACGAGGAAGGTGTTGAGGACAGTGAGAGTGAGCCTCAGCGTCGAGTCCCTCCGTGGGTCCCTCTTGTCAGACCGAATTGAGTAGGAGTCGACTCTCGGGAGTCTCTCGGCCATTCTTGCCTCGTAGGGGGGCTGTAGCAGACTCTGGTGTCGGCGCCACCGTTGATGTTGCTGCAGGTGTTGGCGATGCAAGTAGTGCTGGTGCTACTGCTGTTTGTGGCTGCTGCTACTGAAGTTGTGGCCATGGAGGTCTCTGCGACCCTGACTGCCGCCTTATAAGATCGGGCATCCTCCATGTCCATGTACCCATGAGCTTTGGACATCAGCTGTTCATAATTGGCGACCGGCTTCTTGGCAAGCGAGTTGGCCAACTCATTGATCTGCAAGCCGGCCACAAGGGCAGACATAGAAACCACACTCCCTAGGTCATTAACATCCAGCCTCTTCACCTGAAACCTCTTGAAGTAGGCTCGAAGGCTCTCTCCAGGCTCTTGACTCATCTGGATTAATACATGAGGGGGTATCTTCTGTTTAGTGTCAGCTAGGAAGTGGTATAAACTTCCGGCTGAGTTGCTGGAAGCTGCTGATGGACTTCTTCTCGAGGGTGTTCCACCAGAGCTTGGCGTTCCCCGACAGAGTGATGGGTAAGCATCGGCAGATAACCGCTTCTGATGCTTGGAGCATGCTCATCACATCATAATAGTTCTGGACATGCTTGGAGGGGTCTCTCTCGCCCTTATACTTCTCCACATGATGCATCTTGAACTTCTCACATGAGGCATTCATGAGATCATCAGAAAGGGGGGTGTTCCCCCTGATGGGTTCTGCGACTGGTATGTACACCCGATCGTATCTGAAAGCCGCCACGGTGGCAAAGGGGGCTGGAGAGGCACGGTGGTGGGGGAGAGTCTTAGAGATTGCTCCCTTAGTATGGTTCCCAGGGTGATCAAGGCCGGGACTCTCGCCGGTGACTTCAGGATGTGGGAGGAGACGTCGGCGAGGTTCCTCGGGGCGAGTCGACCAATGTGGCGGCGGGGTCGCGTACTCGACCCAATCCCTCACCTGTTTGGCAGCAGCATGAGGAGTCTGAGGCAGGACTATTTGCTATGCTCTAGAAGAAGGGTGAGTCTCCAATCGTTGGTCTTCAGAAGGCGGGGGGACAGCGAAAGTAGCTTGCTGCGGCTATGGAAGCTGGCTGAGAAGCTCGCTAGTGAAGGTAGCGAGTTACTATTGGAGGGATTGAGAGATCTGTTGAACCGTTTCTTCAAGTTGAGCTTGAGTAACGTAGCTCTTGTGTGGTCCTCTAGGGTGAGACTGGTCAGCCCTATACTTAGAACCAGACATACTTGCTTGAACAAGAAAGAGACCCCATGATGGGCGCCAAACTGTTGATGTTAATAATCAAACAGGTAATATAAGGAGGGGGAGGTTGATTAGGGGGCCGCTAACTTCTTCGAATATCTGATTTTGAGTTGAGAAGCTTCAGTCTGCACAAATAACAAGTCGTGAGAGGACAATGACTAGTTCTCTCGTTGTTCCTCCGACAATCAAGTCAGTTGATGGACTTGAGTGAGAAAATGAAGAACCGTGTGAGTTCTAAAGTGCAGTGTTAGTGGAATTCTCCGAGATTGCCTGGAAATAGCTTAGGATAGTATCTTTATTTATAGCGGTGGAAAAAGGGTAGAATGATAATCTCTGCCGAGTATAGGATGACGACAAACGAGTATGGCCTGGGGGCTACATAAGCACCTACTTTACAGGTGTCGATCGATGAGTGGAGGAGAGGTCACCTCAGCATTTAATGTGAAGTGACCGGAGGCATGGCAGTGCCGACATGGTTTGATGAGTCATGAAGACTATCGAGGCTAGAAGCATGATGGCGCCTGCCAAGCATTAAATGTAATGTCGACACGTTGTCATCGGGGGAACTTCGAGGTTGAAGTCGTCCTTTGGCTTGGCCGAGAAGTAGCACCTTTCGAGTCGACCCCGTAAGGCGTCGAATAACTGGTCGAGTGGGCTCGTAGTGAGTCGTCTTCGACGAGAGAACCTACAAGTACCACCATTCGAGTCGTCCTAATAAGATGTTGACTCGGCGAGTCGGCCGAGTCGGGATTCTTGGTCCTGACTGTTGATCTGATTTGAGCGGTGCATGTAGGGGGACACATGTCTGTTGCTGGCAAATGGTCGTAATTTGGCGACTAAAAACACCATAACAGATATTTTATCAATATTCTTGATAACATGTTTCCTTGGCATACTGAATATTTAAAATTAAAATTTATAAAAGGATTTAGTATAGAGTTAATTTCTCTGGTCATTCACTTTTCATCGACTTTTAAAAGTTTTAAGAAAGAAAAATGGCATTCTTCACTTCTGAATTACTTTCCAATAGGAATACTAAAAATTATTTGTATTGGGAGATATATTCATATCTGATAGGATGCATATACAATTACTAAATATATGGTTATTGAATACACATTTGTAGTAAAATATTTGGATCCGTATATGAAATATTCTAATATATATATTGGTCCTACATTTGCAATTTTAACCCTTAGATCCATGGATTTGAGGTCTATTTTGATGATCTAAGGGATCTAATGTTAGCTTTTTAGATATAACAAACATGTTAATAAACTCTATTGTATCCAATACTCCTCCTTCCCAGCAATTAGATGATTAAAAGATTAAAAAGTAAAACCAATTTCCAACAGTGAGTCCGTTTTCCTTTCCGGGTGACACTAGGGGCACTCCGTTTTCCTTTCCGGGTGACACTAGGGGCACACTCACAACCACAACCATACTCCCTCTCTTATTTGCTACAGTGCACCAGGCCTCACAAGGGATTTTAAAAATTAAAATCCATTGTGAAGCCCGGTGCACTGTAGCAAAACAGAGAGGAGGGTGTGATTAGGGTTATGGTTAGGAGTTTGCAGCTGTCATCATTCACCAAAAAGTAGGGGTGGGCAAAAACCGAAACAAACCAGTTCAACCGAAAAAACCGCCCGAAAAAACGGATCGGTTAACCGAACCGAATTAAATGGATGAGAAGAAGTCTCTAAACCGCTCGAACCGAATTAAACCGGTCTGGATCCGGTTTGAACCCCTGAACCGCCCAAAAAAAACTGAACCGAATTCTTAAACAAAAAGTAGCTGCGAGCCTTGGGTGTGAAGAAAATTTATGGCTGAATGTTTAGCATTTAAGAATTATGGGGTGGAGTTTATACTAACATATATTTGAGTACGCTGATATAGTTAAGTGAGATTTCCGTAAATCAATACAAGATGTTGAGGTTGAAGGATAAATTTAGTGTTTTGGTCAAATTTCAGTGATAACATGAATACAGCTTGCTGGTGCTGGATATCAAATTAACCTATAGTATAGGCTGTCAAGGATATAAGATAATTCTTGATGAGAAAAAGGCTGCTAAAAATTAACAAAAATCATCAAAATGTGTGTGTGCCTGCCAAACATTGTTCTTTCTCTAAAAAAGGCTACATAATTACATGGTCCTCCTAGTGTATTAAGCTAGTTATATTCAGATCATACAATTTGATTAAGTGGCTTAGTACAGTTTTGATTGTTTCTTTTCAGTTTTGATTGCTTCTTTTCAGTTTTGGATATAACTAAAACTTACCCAGATTTTTGTGAAATGGAGTTAATTCGGTTCAAAACCGAAACCAAACCGAACCGAACCGAACCGAATTTTGGTTGGGCCAAATATTCGGATGAAGGAGAAAAAATCTGGATCTGAATAAGAGTTTTGAGAATCCGAAAAATTCGGATTGGATACGGATTGGGCTTAAAACCGAACCGAACCGAATACGGCCAGTCCTACCAAAAAGCACCGAACTAGAAAGCTGCATGGGCGCTCGCCACATACGCACCGCTTATATATACAATAATAATAACAATCGTTACGATCCCCAACAAACTTGAATTTATTATTCTCGCATTGAAGAAAGCGAGCGAGCGAGCGAGCAAGTCCAACATGGGCGCGCCTTCCGTCTTCACGGGAACGGAATATTCTGTTATCCGCACCACCGTAGCCCTCCTAATCTGGCTCGGCGCCATCCACTTCAACGCCGCCCTCGTCCTCATCGCCGCCCTCGTTCTCCCCCTTCGCCTCTCCGTCACGTGCGCTGCTCATGATTTGGTTTTTTTCCCGTTCCGCCCCCCGGGATTTGTGGTTGCTTACTTTTTCTGCCATTTCTTTTTGCAGGGTATCTGGATTGCTGCTGTTTTTTATGGTGATTCCCTTGAATGATGAGAGCAGATGGGGCAGGAAATTGTCGAGGTGTAAATGGTTAAAGAAACCCATAAAATTTTACTACTTTTTTTGGGGAATTTATTGGCGATTATTTTTTTTTTCTTGTCGATTGGAGAAAATGCAGGTTTATTTGTAAATATGCGTGTGGGTATTTCCCAGTGAGTCTTCATGTGGAGGACATCAAGGCATTTGATCCAAACAAAGCTTATGGTGAGATACTGATTTTGTTTTTTTTTTTGGATTAATTTTTGGTAACTATTGAAGCTCAAGTGAGATGCTGGTAGATCTACATTTGTTGAGTTGATTTTGTTTCAGTGAAATTTGGTGATCATTGCATAATTGGAGATAATTCCTCCTTTTAGGAGGCTAGATCACAGTCTATTACTTTCCAGTAACCATAAGTTTTTTCTTTCAGTTGGATTCTAATGATATTTGTTGGTGAGGTGCAAAATGTACCTGCAGCTTATTTGATTTGAAGTAGGTAATGGATTGGTCAGTCTCATTATTATTCAGATTGTTTCAAGTCTGAGTGGTTCAAAGATTGGTCAGTCGCAGTATTATTCACATTCTTCTGATTCTAAGTAGTCTTAAGGATTGGTTAACGGCGGTGCTATTATATTTTGTTTTGAAGTATTTCAGAGATTGATTAATGGTAGTGCTATTAGCTTCTTTTGAAGTGCTTCAGAGATTAATTAATTACCGTGCTAATAGTCTTCTTTTGAAGTACTTCAGAGATTGATTAACAGCAGTGCTATTAGGTTACTTTGATTCCGAGTAGTTCAGAGATTGGTTTATTACAATATTTTTTGTTTTTTATCCTAAGAAGTTTACGAATTGGTAAATTACAGTATTTGGATACGAGCCGCACTCGGTTTTACCGATTGCTGTCTGTGCTCTTGCTGACCACACTGGTTTCATGCCATTGCCAAAGATCAAGGTCCTTGCGAGTAGTGCTGTAAGGTTCTTGCTATAACCTCTTTTTTTGTTGGGAAAATTGGGTGTTGACACTAAATTTTATTTAGCTTAAATTTTTTTTTTCTGCTGATCACAATAATGTAGGTATTCTACACACCGTTCTTGAGGCATATATGGACATGGTTAGGGCTGGTGCCCGCGTCAAGAAAGACTTTTTACTCGCATTTGAAAGCTGGTTATAGCTGTGTAGTAGTCCCGGGTGGTGTTCAGGAGTGTCTCCATATGGACCATAACTCTGAGGTGTGCTTTGAACCCAAGGATTATTGCTTTGCAATTAAGTAGTTTAAACTGTTCTTCTGAGCATATGTTAAGAGTAGAATTTATAACTCTAAGCTCTCACCACAACTTCATTGAAGGAACCTTTGCGTGGTATCAATGCAGCCTTGGTTTAAATCCCACCAAGTATACCCTTGCATGGATCTAATTTCGTCCCATGAAAGGGCGCTGAACCTTCGGGACTTGCTAAGAATATAAAATTATAAAACTCAAACCTCCCCACAATTTGAATTTTGCAGTGAAGGAGACATTTCACCTTCGACAGTATATTTTGTCCATGTTGATTGCAGAGGCGTAGCCAGTGAAGACTTGCCCTGGGCAGCTGCCCAGGGCAAGAATTCACACTAAGATGCATATAAGAAACCATGAAGAGCAAGAACCCTACTTCCATGTTAGCCCCTATTTCAATTTAGACAGGACCGAAAACCCCAAATTAATCAATCGAGTCCTCTGAGCGCCGACCAGTTGCTTTCTCCTATATATGATCCTAGCCTTCTTCTTCTAATTGAGATTCTGCCCCAACTCAAATCCCAGCCTTCCTAATAAAAATCCAAAAGGCTCCACCGCCCATTAGTTCAAACCTCCAACTAACGGTGATCTTTTCTGATTGAGATTCTGCTCCGCCGCCGTCGCGATCTCATCGGCAAGCCCGACCTCACGAAGCCCGTCCAGTTCGTCTCTACCGACACCGTCATGCCGGACCAAGAGATCGAGAAGGAGAACGGTATCTCCGATTCCCCGACTGCATCATCTCCGAAACCCTTTATTTTTCGTCCAGGGCAAAAAAAATTCCTGGCTCCGCCACTGGTTGATTGTAAATTTGCCTTAAATATTATTGTTATCTATGTAGGAGAAGTGCTCATGCATTCCATTAATTCTTATAGATCCATTATGTGTTTATTATTTGATTATTTTAAACATTTCTTTTGGTACCTCTTCTCCATTTAAAGTGTAGAATATTTCACTTATTTCTTATCAATTATGATATGGTTTAGTCAGATAAATTTGGCGAGGGATATCTGAATGTTTAGGTATAAGATGTTCATTCTTAACTAAAGTTTGTTATGCAATGGTTGTGCAAAAAAATACGTAAAGTAACTGTACAATTCACCTGAACCTCCTCATTGACAATGTATTTGGAGTATTTACTATTTTAGTTTGTAGTAAACAAGTGTTGCGCAAAAATTACTAACATTGGAAGGATATACATTTTCCACTTAGAGATTTCTGTTGAGGATTAATCGAGTTAGTATAGGAATTTTAGGCAGTTAACTTTGAAACTGATGCAAAGGTTCAAAGAAATGAGTTAAGATCTGAATTTATCTGTTCCGAAGCACATGATTCCAGCTTTTGGCTTTAGAAAATTAGAATTCCTTGGTTTCCTGTGGATTCTATCCATGCATTTAGCATTGCAGTTCTTCTTGATTCAAGCAAACTAGGTTTGATTTGTGTTAGGTTTGAGTTGCATGGAGGCTTTTCTTTCTTAAAGATACAGACATCTAGAGTGATTTTTCCACACTTGCATATTGTGTATGGTTTAAATTAGAGATTTCTTGATGTGCTGCTGTTTATCATTCAGTGAACATGAAGACAGGAAAGCCAACACTTTAATGTTGGTTGTATTCGGTTTTTGCCTAAATATGTACAATTCTATAGTATTTGTAGGTTTACTCCAAATCTAGATTTTTCCAAATTTACCCTCAAAATCGACCACGTTGACTTTTTCTATCTTGTCAAATTTAACGTCATTAAATTTCTAGTAAAGGTAAAAAATGTCAACAATAACCTCCTCTCATGACAAAAGAAAAGAAGCCGTCGCTAGCCATGTCGATGCTCCCCCTTGTCACTAATCTCTCCCTCCCTACCCCTCCTCCCTCCCTTAGCTATCAAACCTCTTGCCCTGCAACCACAGTCGCTCCCCCCACCATCTCTCCCCCCAGATCCAAAACCATAACCCAAACCCTAACCCAACCCCTCCTGTTGCGGCGACAGTGCCAGCCTCTCCCCTAATCTCTCCCTCCCTCCCCCCTAACCCTAACCATAACCCAAGATATGTCCCATCCCATGTGGCAGACACCTACCCATCCCTAGACAATGGATGCTCTTGCCGCATCCCTCCCCTATCTCCTCTCCTCTCTCTTCATCTCTAACTAATTATAATTAAAAAAGTAATTAACTTAATTAGGAGTATATTAGTCATATTGAAAATTTTTAATTAGCTTAACAAAAATGGTGGCAATATTCTGGGCACAAAAAGAAAATTTGAGGGGTATAAAAATTCAATGTAGGAGATTCGGAAGGTAAATTAGCAAATATGTGGATTTGAGCAGTAAATATGCAAATTTGCCAGATTTGGTGGGTATATTGGCAAAAACTGTATAAGTGGCTTTGGAGCGGAAGCGAAAATTGTAATAGAAGCAAGTAATGACGGTGTAGGAGAGCGCCGCCTGATGGTTGGACCAATTGTCTAGCTGTATTGAACCCATGACAGTTTGACCGGTCAATCTATCATCAGCCAGATTTGAGTGGTCGACCACTAGTTAGACTACTCGGGTGATTTCCTGCACAATCTGAGTCCCATTTTGATTGGTTTTCACAATGTTTGTTGGGCCAACGAATTCTATTCTATTTAAAGGGTGTTTTATGAGATCTAGGGTTTCATATTGCAAGAAATACCCAAGTTTGTGCTTTTGAGAAGGGCTAAGGTAGAGAGAAGAAGAGGGATCAGTTTAGTGTGAAGATTTCTGAGTGAGGGTTTATGTGATCTTATAATCTTCTTCGATAAACTTAAAGAAACTCCCCTCCCTTTTTCCCGTGGATGTAGGCACTCTTCTAAACCACGTTTCTCATCTTCTTGCTGTGTTGCATGCTAGTTTCTTTTGTTTTTTGTTGTTGTTTGCTAAAATGTTTTTGTAAACACTAAAGGTTGGATGTTTATCTCCAATAATTAATATCAGTGATGAAAGTTTGATCTCTACATCTCATCCTCAACCGTAGAGAGCTCAAAAATTGTTTCAAGAAGAGTTAGAAGAAAGGTTGAAGATTATGACAACCATAGCAACGCAAAGGAAGTACCACGTGGAGAAGTTTAACGGCAAGAGAAATTTCTCTTTTTGGTAAAGGAGGGTTAATGCGCTTTTGACAAAAGAAAACACCTTGAGTCTTGAAGGCATTGCAAGGAGAGGCAAAGAAGACTATAGACATGGATGATGACGAATGGGATGATCTCAATCCCCAGACTTTGGGCACCATCAAGATGAACTTGGTGGATCAGATAATGCACAACGTGATGTCAGAGATGACAGCAGAAGAAGTATTGAGAAAGCATCAAAGTATTTATATAACAAAAAGTTCGTTGATATCAAGAAGCAATTCTGCAAACTTTGGCTGAAGGAAGGTACACCACTTCTAAGTCAGTTGCACACTTTTGACAAGCTTGTAGGGGATATTTTATTCCTGGAAATAAATGTAGAGAAAGAGGATAAAACACTTATCCTTCTCGCATCGTTCATGGATTTGTATGAGCAGTTGGTGGCAATGGAGCCAGTATTGTCTTGGTGGTATCCTCATGTAACATATCATGGTTAGTTTGAGATCCATATTATTTATTTTATATTTTTATCCTCTTTAGTGGTGTCCTACCCTAATTTCAGTGATGTCATATGTAATGTTTACAAGTAAAAGTAAATAAAAATACTCATAAAGTATAAAATACGGCGGTGTCCTACGACACCATTGGATACTATGTAGCTCCATCATTGCTTGGTAGTAACGATCATGTATGGAAGAGACACTCAATATAAAGAAGGTGATGGTCACTCTTCTAAGCACTTCTCCCAAGTTGATCGCTAAGGAATAATGGAGGCAATACTCGAGGCAGAAACAGATCCAAATCCAAAGTAAGTGCTTCCAATCAGGATGACAGAAGTTGTTTCTTTTGTAAAACGATGGGATATATAAAGAAAGGTTGTAGTAACTACAAGCAATGGTTAGAAAGAAAGTAAAAATCGTCGAGCAATGGTGAAAGCAAGCAGATCAAGCTAGTGTTGCTTCAGAAGTGAAGGAAAACAATAAAGATTGTGATGTATTGATTACATCTACTTGGAAGGACTCTTACTCAGATGCATTGATTCTTGATTTGGCACGCCCATATCCTATGTATCCACAAAGAGATTGGTTCGACACATGAAGATTACAATGGTGTGACAGTTGTTATGTGTAACAACTCACATGCAAGACATTTGGTGTTAGTATCATCAAGTTGAAGATGGATGATGGGATGCTGAGTGCGGTATGCAAGTTCGTAGGTGAGCGCACAACTCTTAAGGCGATGAGGGCATACTAATTTATCTCATAGGCAAGAGAAGGGTGCACTTGCGCTGGCTGATCAAAAGCACGGTGACCAGTGTTGCTTCAATCATGACAACAAAGAAACAGGTGGAGAATACCTTAAAGCTTTGGTACATACGTTTAGGACATATGAGTGAAAGGGATTTTCAAGTGTTGAGTGAGAAGAAGGTAAAAAGGTGTTAAGGAGTGCAAGCTTTGCTTCTGCAAGTTTCGTGCAGTGGGAAAGCAACATAAAGTGAGCTTCACTACAACAGTGCACACGACAAAAGGTGTTTTGGACTACATTCATTCAGATGAATGGCGAGCTTCATAAACAAAGTTTAAAGGTAACGTAGAATATTTCTTCATGTTAATCGACGACTTCTAACAAAATGTATGAGTTTATTTTCTAACCCATAAGTCTTAGGTATTCCAAAAGTTTAAGAAGTTGAAAGCGGCCATAGAGAAAAAAATGGGACAACATATCAAGTACTCGAGAACAGATAATAGAAGTGAATACACCTTAAGGATTTTCAAACAATTTTGCTTTGAGCAAGGCATACAATTAGCTAACAGTGCTAGGGCATCTAGATAAGAATGGAGTAGCAAAGTGCATAAATTAGACATTATGAGAGAGAGCCAAAAGCATGAGACTGCAATCTATATTGTTGAATGGCTTTTGGGCAGAAGTGGTGAATCATGCATGCTATTTGGCCAGTCGTTCACCATCGATCGCCATCGATCTTCAAATTTCAAAAGTTTGGATGAAAGATCCAGTTAGATATGATTCCTCGGGAGTGTTTGGGTGCTTTGGCTACGCTCTAGTAGATAGAGACATAAGAAACAAATTGGGTACAAAGTCAAGAAAATGCTTCTTTAGCGGGTTGCAAAAGGGTGTCAAGGCATTCAAGCTATGAGATTTCAAAAGCAACACTATATTTGTTAATAGGGATATTACTTTTAGTACAGAGTCCATGTTAGGTGATAATGGATGGGAACCACAAAAGGAAGGCTACATACATGTGAAAGGACATTTACATAGGAGATGCACCTTAGGAGGAAGATGCGGATGTGGATGAGAAAATAATCATAGATGGTGATGAGGAGACTTAACTCTAGCAGGAGCATTCTATAGCACAGGGCTAACGTAGAGGGATCCACAAAGCATTGGTCAGGTATGGTTTTGAAGATGGTTAGATAGCATTTTCTCTGTGAAGAGCGATGATTTGGGCACTTATAAAGAAGCACGGTGGTTGATTGTCATGATAGAGGAGATGGAGTTAGTTCAAAGAATGGACGTGCGATCTAGTCAAGCTATTGATGAAAAGGCAAGCTATGGGATGCAAGTGCGTGTTCTAAAGGAAAGAGAATGAGAAGTACAAGGTTCACCTCATGGCAAAAGGATATGGTCAGAAGAAGGAGATTGACTACAATGAGATGTTTTCTCTGGTGATCAAATATACGTCAATTAGGGTGTTGGTGACGATAGCATAGCATAAGATAGAGTTGGAGTAGCTTGATGTGAAAACAATATTTTTACATGGAGAATTTGAGGTCATCTACATGAAAGCCTGAAGGATTTATAGAGGAAGAAAAAGAGGACTATGTGTGTTTTTAAGAAGTCACTCTACAGGTTGAAGTAGTCTCTGAGATAGTGATACTAGCGGTTTGATTCGTCCATGATAGTGACAGAATACACCAGGTGTGAGTGTGGTAGCTGTATATTCTTTATACAATATGGTGAGGTAGAATTTATATATTTGGTGTTAAATGTGGACGACATGTTGATTGCGGCAAGGAGTAAGCAAGAGATACGAAAGTTGAAGACTCAGTGAGCAAGGAGTTCAACAAGAAAGACTTCGGCAAAGCCAAGAAGATCATCAAAATGGAGATCTACTGAGACATGAAAACTATGGTTATCATAATGGAGATATGTTGAAAGGTGAATAAACGATTCAATAGAGAGAAGGCGAAACAGGTGAGCATCCCTATTGCAGGTCAATTTAGATTGTCTTCACAGATGTGCCCAAATATAGATGAGGAAAAGGAACAGATGACCCGGGTGCCATATGCAATCATAGTAGGATCACTCATCTAAGTTATAGTGTGCATAAGGCTAGACTCAATATATGCGGTTAATTTCGTGAGTAGATATATGTCGAATCTAGACAAGCTTCATTAGAAGGTGGTGAAGTGCACACTACAGTATCCAAAAGGTATAACATTGCATGGGCTATTACTCCAGAAGGTGTAAGGGAAGCTATGAGTTGAAGGTTTCCTTAGATTCAGACTATGTAGGTGACCTCAATCATCAGAAGTTGACTATATGCTTTGTATTCATAGTTGGAGATGGGTCAGCTAGTTAGAAGTCATAACTATAGGCACCTATTGCACTTTCAACGACGAAAGCAGAATAGATGGCGACTGATAAAGCATCTAAGGAGGCCCTATGGTTGAAGGGAGTGTTTTGGATTTCTATGTAGGTGACTCAATCATCAGAAGTTGACTATGGGCTTTGTATTCATAGTTGGAGATGGGTCAGGTAGTTAAAAGTCACAGCTATAGATACATATTGCACTTTCAACGACGGAAGCGGAATACATGGTGTCCGTTAAAGCATCTAAGGAGGCCTTATAATTGAAGGGAGTGGTTTGGATTTTTGGTTCAAGCATGTTATCATGGAGTTACTTTGTGATAGGCAAAACATCATGCACAGTGCACTTACTGAAGGATCAAGGGTTTTGTCGAAAGTCGAAGCACATTGAGATAATGTATCGCAAAATCAGGAAATGGGAGGCAAGGAAATATACCAAGATGGTGAAAATTGATGTAATGGAAGATCTAGTGGACATCATGATGAATCCTGTCTCTACGAACAAGTTCAAGACATTCTTAGACTTCATTTAGGTACTCACTCGTAAGAGCAGCACGCGGACTCGGGTGATCACGATAGTATGAGACTTCAAGTGCAGAACGTGACGGATATGTAGATACTCATGGATTTCAGGAAGGTACACAGCTTGAAGTGGAGATTGTGAAGGTATACAGGTACTTATGGTGGTGGAGATTGTTGAAGTGGCTTTGTAATTGAGTGGAAGCATTGGCGGAAACAAAAGCTGCCAGCGATAGTGTGGGAGAGCGGTCGGATCAACCGATCCGAAAGTTCTGGTGGCCGGACTGGCCGATCCATTGCTAGTGAACCCACGACAATTGGACAGGTCAGTCCATCATCAGTGAGGTTCGATAGTCCGACTACCAGTCGGACTACTTGGGTGAATGCCTGTATAGTTTGTCCTATTCTGATTGGCTTTCGAAGTCTTTGTTACGCCCGTGAGTTCTACCCTATTTGAAGGGTGTTTTCTGAGATATGGGTTTCATGCTAAAAGAAATGCCGTCACATTTATGTTTTTGAGAGAGGCTAAGGTAGAGAGAAGAAGAAAAATCAATGTCCTGCGAGGATTTGCAAGAGAGGGTTTGTGTGATCTTGTAATATTCTTTGATAAAGTTAAACGAACTCTCCTCCCCTCCTGTGGATGTAAGCACTTTTTGGAACCACAAAAATCTCATCGTTTTGTGACTACATGCTAGTTTGTTTTGCTTTTGTTTGTTCTTCGCTGAAAGGTTTTCGCAGTAAACCCTAAAGGTTGCACCTTTATCTTCGATAAAAACTCGTATTTAATTTATGGGTCTAATAGTCAATAGGGAGTGAAGTAATTTTAGAATTATTTATGAGGTTCTTTTGCATATTTTTCGTCTGGTAAGGTGACAAAAACATCATGTATAGATATGATGTTCTTTCGCATGATGTTTTGCTGGCTATTCTCTTGTATAGAATGGATACACTGTTACCATCTTAAACACGACTAAATTTGCTCTATTCCAATTTACACCTAAAAAAATGTTTAGCAATAAACTCATAACTAATAGAATATCCGAATGGCAACTTAATGTCACCTCGTAAGCTAGAAAAATAAAATGTTTGAAATTCTACTCTGGATGGGATTTTCTTATGTTTGCCACAATGTTAATACTGTGGAGAAACTATTGACACTGGGTCTGAGAATGTGGCTTCACTTAAGTACAATATTTAGACCCCAAGAGTTTTTTATGGTTGGTCAATCGCTGATGACCCTAATATACTAGGTCCCACATAAATTGGGAATTTCCGAGTGATCTCTTGGGTGAGAAGCACCATTAAGAGGTGAAAAAACTAACCTGAGGTCATAGTCACAAAGAAGCCTGGATATGACTCCCTCAAGGTGTAATCTTGAAGGAGATCAGAGCATGCTAAGTTGATATAGGACACATGAAGAACGCCAGCAAAACAATAAAGGCAAGAACCGCAGCTGTGCAAATCAGACAATCATAGTTTCTTCATAAACTTGATATTGTGAGAGCACACATTCAAAGATGGCTGGTAGAGTGAAATTGGATTGGGAAGCATTATTATCGGTCTTTAACCTAATCACAGCGAAACATGCCAAACTAACCACCATTACAAGAGACTTATGCATCAGAGGGGCGACATGAGCAAATAACTTACATCTACTCTCCTGAGTGAAGTGGGAAATTTTAATTACTTAGCATGGCTACAAGATGTTTGGGGAACTTATAGGACACAATTATTCTTTCTCAAGAAATTTCTCAGAAATGGATATAGATATCTTTGAATATCTGCAAAGGAATTGTGAGCATTCTAATATAGATTATATATGAGGAAACTCATGCAGAAGTAATAAAATTTAACATTGGGCGTAAAAATATAAAGTCGTATACATATTTAAATACACAGACACATAGATGAGTAAATGGGGGTTGGTTTGTCGACACCTTGTATTCTGGCTTTACTAGCTTTCTGAAGATTCTTCTTGTTCGAGCCTTAGTATATGCTAAAGTGACACTGCAACAGAAGACACTTATTTCTCCATCTGCAAACACTTTAAGTTCTGAAATTTGTGGGTTTTGTTTGCGCTTAGGTTGCATTCCTCAAATCAAGAAAGGGCTTTATACGGATAGCCATAGAGATGGGGGCACCTCTTGTTCCAGCCTTTTGCTTTGGTCAGGTGATGTATTATGTTTGTATGTTTGGTTTTTCTGATATCGGTCCCTTAAAATCTTTCATATTTCAAATTAGTCCTCCAAATATATAATTGCTGTTTAGTCCTCTTATGTAAATAACTTAACCCTAACCTGTTTGTAATCCAAACTGAAACCCTCTTCTTATCCCCTACAACAGTCAACTTTTTTCGTAAGAGATAGTTCCCCTAACCCCATTTTGAGAGGGAGGGAGGGTTGACATGAAATGGTAACCTATCATGTTGGGTTAATCACTAACCCACCCAGAGTTGGATGGAAAAACCAACAAAGGGACTACTTTAGACTAATGTTTATGAATTGGGGGACTACATAGCAATTTCAATGATTTGAAGGACTAACTTAACAAATATTAAAGATCTAAGTGACCATATCTGGAAACACCATAGATAAAAAGGAAAAAATAAGAAAAGAAAAAGAAAAAGAAAAAGAAAAGGGGGGAAAACAAATACAGTTAATACTATTGCAAATCTTCTTTGGTTCATGGTTCATAAAGTTACGCCTCTTCAATTAATCTTCTCAGAGAGAAATAAATTAATGGCTACCATTGCACTCTCAAATCAGGGATAATACTGGATATACTGCTTCATTTATATCTTCCTATGGTTGTCCTGCAGAGTTGTGTTTACAAGTGGTGGAAGCCTGGTGGAAAATTATTTTTTCAGATTGCTAGATCACTCAAGTTCACACCTATAATCTTTTGGGGAAGATATGGGTATATTGATGAAACCTGGTTCTGTTCTTTTTTTTTTATCATTTTTTGTTGCATATTGTTTCATTTAGTGTTGCATATTGTTTTTCCTTTTCTTTCTCCCCCCCTCCCCCCACCCCCCATTTTTTCGTATAATTGAATTGCTCGATTTAAGATATGGGTTTTCGACAACCGATGCACGTTGTGATTGGAAGACCTATTGAGCTCAAGAAAAATCCTCTGCCCACAATGGATGAGGTACATAACCTCTGCGTTATTTTTGTTTGTTTAGCAAAATGTTTTTGAAAATTTAAACCTTTCTAGTTGGTCTGAAATCATTATACCATGTTACCTCTGCAATAACACACACTGAAAGTTTGTCTCTGGTGAATATTGTTCCATATAGTTAGTGATATTATGCTTATGCTGCTGTGTGGACTTGTGATGCATACTCGATTGTCCTACATGATGTCAAAATTGAAAATTTAGATTGAGGGGAACATTGCAGCTTAAGTGGGGGTATCTATGACTTCTTTTAATTGTAATCATAACGAAGACAATAAAAGGGATAATATCAAGTTTTTCTTGTATCATTGAGCAAACAAGGAACCAACTTATTCACTTAAATAAAGGTTAGAATATAACCAACATCCTTTAATTTTTAAAATTCACAGAGGAGAAAATTATGCATAATTCAACAGTTTTGTAGGATGTACTCTAGAATCGGGTCGAGTCTCAGGTTTGAGGAGACATTACAGATAGTCAAGTTTTCCCTGATGCTTCCATTCTTGGAGTTTTGAACCACGGACCTAATGGTCGAGTTGCTTAGCTGAGTCTTTTCGTGGTACCACATGCATTTAACAGGAAATCTAATAATAATAATAATACTATAAAGCTGAAGCACCTACATCTATCCATCTGATTTGTATCTTAATATGTGGTTCTTCCTGATTTGATCAGATCAATGAAGTCCATGCACAATTTGTTATGGCACTGCAAGATCTCTTTGACAAGTACAAAGGCAGAGTTGGATATCCTGATCTTCAGCTAAGAGTTCTATGATCCCCATCAAACATTAAATTTGTTCGTCTTGCTAGTACCGAATTCGTAACCTATCCAAATAGGAACAGAACAGCCAAAGCAGCATTGGAAGAAAATTGATGTTCTTACCAAATCATTGTTAGTTTCTGTATCCTCTCCAATTCAACATAGCCAGTGTTTATTTGTTGTGGTTGTATTGGTAACTCCAAGAACTTGAAGATTATAGTATATGTCTCATTAGCAGAGCAGATGTCGAAGTGTATATATCAAAAAAAAATTGTTTGTCACAGGCATACTCTTTTAGTTCCCTTATTTTCACTTTCGTAACTCAAATTAGCATTTTCCATGGGCTGGTAGCACTGCGTGCCCTATCAGAACCGGCTCTCAGGCCACTAGGTGGGGCGTGGGGGTGAAATTCCTACTTTACCCCCCCAGTTTGTTCATTGTAAGGTTCAGAACCGCCCGTCTTCATATGCAGGCAACAAGCAAGACAGCAGAGCTCACCATCACTGTTGGCTGCTCGGTCAAGCAATGCATATGTGCCTATTGAGGCCTATGACATATACTCCTTTTTCACAGAGAAGATTCGTGGACTCTCCTGGTGCCGTAATGTAAGTAGTCCTGCAAATATATAGAGAACATGGGTACTGGATTCTAATTAATCTTCCAAAATAGATTAATAGAAATCGATCGACAACAATTTTTATTTATTTACGTAATAATTTTGTGAAACAGGGCAAGATGTCCGGGAGATTTATTACTATAATAAGCTAGATAGAAGAGAGAGAAGTAAATAGGTTGGAAATTATTAGGATTTTTGTAAATTGAACAATTTTGAGGGTTTTATTTTGTAATTTGTAAAAAGTTCAGTGTGTATTACAAATTTCATAAATTTTTTAGGGTGGTTTGTGTTATTTGTAGGTTTTTAGTGTGTTCATGGTTTGAAATTTTTAACTTTTTTTTTATAAATTTTGAATTTTAGGGGTATTTTTGTAATTTTTAAAATTTACAAGATATTTTCTTCAAAATAAAAAAACTTTTAGTTTCTAGCTAGCATATGTTTTTTACACTTCTCACTGAATTGAAATAAGTAAAATTTATAATTTTGAAGATGTTTTAATAAAATTTTGAATTTATAGGGGTGTTTTTGCAATTTAGAAAATTTGGAGAATATTTTTTACAAAGTCCATAAACTTTTAGGTGCTGACTAGCATATGTTTTTTAGATTTCTTTACGAACTGAAATAAGTAAAAGATTTGAATTATATGAAACGCCTCTTTTATTCAATAACACGTTAACTCTCATTACGAATAGAAAAAATCATTTAGTTACTAACTCAAATAGATTATAATAACAATATAATATTTAAAAAAAACTAAGGATAATATTGATCATAGAAAGATTTTTTTTCGAATTTATACTTTTAAAGGAAGTGTGATAAACTAGATAAAAGAGAGAAGTAAATAGGAGGAGACGGGGTAAAAAGATAAAAGGGAGTTTATTTGTTTTTCGGGACCAGATGGTCGACTACTCTTTCACATCAATTATCAAGTATCTTTTTTCTAGTATTGGCTTTTCATTTGAGATTTATACTGATTACTTATTTATAGTGCATATCCCGTTATGCATTGGAGGATGCCGGTAATTCTTACGGAGCACTTTTCACAAAACCCCCTTCAAATTTGGTTGTTCTGAGATAACTTAGGTACATGGCCATAACTTTGAGTGGTTTTCACATAAGCCCCCTTGAATTTGTTCTACCCCCCTAAGCCCATTGGTGATTATTTTGAGTGCTAAAAGTAGTCTTCTTCCTTTTCAGTCACGTGGTTGACATGTGAAACCTACTTCGGTAAACTAAAGTGAATAAATTCCATAGAGCGTGGTTCAATAGAAAAAGTTCCAAGGGGTTATACGGAAAACTTAAAGGGATTATCCTAAAGGGGTTTTGTGAAATTTACCCTTTCCACGCGTTTTTACACGATGACGGCCGTCGACTTATTTTGACCCCCTGGAGAGTTCCACCAAAAGGGACACGGACTTGGGTAGATAGACGTAGAGATCAACGAAAAAGTGAACGTTCGGATAAGTAAAATAAATATGAGCTAGCTGTTCTGGGTCTTGGTATAATTGTTTGATACTTTTGGGGGGGTATAACCGTATAAAGAGATCATAAGGTTGAGGATTAAAAGTTCTCTCTCCATGGCATGATGCTCTATGAATGGAAGTCTATTCTTACGTATCAACCCTCTTAGCTGGCTGTGGTGACCTTTAGAAACAAGATTTGATACGGTTGGGGGCTATTTGGATATGTTTTTTTGTGTGGTGAAAAAGGAGAAAGCTGTCAAAAATGTCAGCTTTTTGACAGCTTTCCCCCAAAATCAACTTTTTAAGAGGTGATTTTGGGGGAAAGCTGCCAAAAAGCTGACATTTTTGACAGCTTTCCCCACTTTTACCACTCAAAAAACAGGAACCAAACGGCCCCTTGGTCATTTTTCGCTTGAAAGTCACTGTAGCTGTCAGACTGCATCAAGCTTCCGAGGCAATTACCTTGTTTGTTTGGGCAAGTAGGATGGTGATGCAACCACTAAAGTCCTAGTTGACAAGCTCTGTCCAATTACCTTCAAAACGGCTGATTTTTGTGGGTATTTACTGTAGATATAATGTCCTAGTTGGGTCGTTAGTTTTCTAGATAAACCAACATCTAGGTGTTTTACAAAAAGAACCAATCAGGCCCAGTAAAGTATGGAGTTTCTTGAACTTTATTTGAGCAAGAGGAAGTTGTGATTGCTCCTGTTGTTTTTGTCTTCTTTTAGGAGTAGTAGCTCGCGCAAAGTCTACATCAACATATAGGGATTTATACATAAAATAGGGAGGAATAAATTCTCTTCACTCTATGTCCTCATTTAGTGCATTGACCTACTAAAGTTCATAACCTAAAATTGATGAATGTCTGTGCAACTACTAGAATGATTTTTTTTCCAAAAATTCTTATCTTACTAGTCTCCTATTAATTTCTATCTGCAGGTCCTGCAGCCTTTTGTTTTATTTGTGTTGGTTTCTAATTAGTCAGGTACGTCTCCTTTATTCTTTATTTTCTTTTTAATATCTATATACTATTACTAAAAGTTGTTACCTTTCAATTCGCCACTTGGCAAAAATGCCACTTGGCAAAAATAGCTCATACCATTTTAAAAAACACTTGGCAAACATATCAATTGCTATCTTCTTGCAAGTGCCACTTGTCAAGTTTCTACAAAAGTTCACCATATTAAATTTGAAATAAAAAATAAAAAATAAAAAGTTCTCCTTGAGATTTGAACTAACTCTCCCTGCAAATAAAAAATAAAAAGTTCTCCTTGAGATTTGAACTAACTCTCCCTGCCTTTTCAATTTTCCAAACAAGATGCTTCGTAAACTGTTTGAACTTGAACTAACTCTCCCTGCCTTTTCAATTTTCCAAACAAGATGCTTCGTAAACTGTTTGAACGCTTCGTTTGAACTATTTGTATTTGTTTGCTATATCAATTTTTGTATATTAAACAAATCCGTGCATCGCACGGGCATAAAACTAGTTCATAATCATGAATGGAAAAAAACCCTAAAGAAAATTATACGCTGGCTATGATAAAAATTAACAATAGTCTCTCCATTACTATTTTTGATCCTTTCCACTATCAAAAAATTAGTAGAGGAACTATTTAATCATAACCATTGGTTATCTAGTAGGTGGATATGATTTTTTTGAAGTGTAAATTATGACTGAGTGCAATACATAATAATATAGCGATCGAGTATTAGATTTATAATGTATCACAATTATTATTAGACAATAAATGATTGGAATTAAAAGTAACAAATTTTCTATTATTTATTTATTGGCGAGGATCCAAATCCGGAAAGAGTATCCAAATTCTTTCCGTTCGTGACAATAGCCCAACAATTTAATGCATCAATACAAATTAATACATACAATCTATACTACATACAAAAGAGGATTGCCTTGTCAAAACTTTTGATTTCTATTTTTACCATTTTAGGTTTGAAAAATCTCAAATATATGTCGTTAGTTGTAATTAATCATTCACTAATTATATATAACCTCTTATTAATTATGCATTTCCTCACTTTTTTGAAACATTTTGTCACATTATTATTTTATTATTTAAGTATGTTGTTTCCATAGAAAATTTAAAATTTATCTTCACATAATATTTAAAAATCTAGAAAAAATTAAAAATAAGAAAAATTCATTAGGTTTATGCCTTGTACCTTTCGGTTTCATCTCTTGTGGAGGACTACATATTACCTTTCATCTTATTAGTCTTTTAAAAGTATGATAATAGTATAAAAAATAATTTGTATTTATTATAATTTTAATATTATTTAATAGTATAATAATTTTAATAGTATTTTTTAAATTAATATATTTTACTATAATTTAATAATTATGTGATTTCGTAAATTATACACTGATAGTATAATAAACTAATTATTAAATTAAAATATAGTTACTAATAATATTATAAGTATGCCAAGTATAATATTATTATATTTAAAAGAGAAGAAATTATTTAATATATGATAATTATTTGAATAAATTATGAATAAATTATAATAATTATCCAAACTATAATAGTTAATCATTCAAACTTTATACATGATTTTATCATCATTTTACAGCCAACAAAAAAATTGTAAAACATAAAATAAAATAAATATATACTAGTTCAAAAGCACGTGTACTGTACTAATAAGATACAAAAGAGAAACGATTTCATCAAAATCCCAAACGTGGGTGATTCTTTATACGTTCCCATTCAAAAAATAAATAAAGTTGAATCTATAGGTCACTCCTCAGAGGGACATGTAGTCTTGCTGTCAACTGAAAGAGAACTTTCCAATCAAAAGAGAGAAACTGTAGTGATATATATGACGCACGCCATGCACGTTCAATAATAAAATAATATTGTTGTTACTTTTTTCTACCTTTCAATGAATGATCATATTGTAACCCACTCTTGAATCTAGGATTATATATATATATATTATATATATATATATATAATATATATATATATATATATATATATATATATATATATAGAGAGAGAGAGAAGCAGAGAGAAAGATGGGAGAAACTTGGTACCAAGTTGCTTCAAGCAACTTGGTAGTTGTAGGCATCGAAATTGCCTATAGGTCTCCACGAACAGCTCAGTGTTAAGGAACGACGATGAACGTCACTATCCGGTTCACAGGAGTTCGTTGATTGTCGGTGAACGCTTAAAGTGAATCGACGAACTACGTGAACTAAC